ATATAGAAATCAAATTAAGTTAATTCCTTAATACAACATATTCATGTTTCAGTTGAATGCAATATATCTATACATCGGTTTCCTTTGAAGATTTTTTGTTCACACCATGCACTCAACAGTCGTTTTAAATCTCGACACATCTCGGCTGAAAGAACACTATCGTGAGTTCTACTTAATAGAAAGGCTTAAATCATATATAGATCTGCTCCAGGTCTAGATACGCGTTGCTTTCTACTCGGTTACTCCGGATGTCTTGCGCCGTACCCATCAGTCAGGCTAAGTATTCCCTTGTTACAGTTGTGGTCAGTAGAGGACTTTCTCACGGTGACGACGTCCATCGCAGATCCGTACCAAACACCGATCTGTTCCTCGTTCAGAAAGAGCCCTTCGGCGGTGTTTGCGTCTGAACAGATTGCGTTGGACGAACAACAACGAATGGCGGATTGTCTCGATCGACAACCAACTGACTCAAACAATACGAGTCTAGAAGGTGATCTTTGCCGTCTGATCTACGGCGTATTTTAGTCTCCAATGGCTTCTTCCCACTGGCTAACCAAATAACAGGATCAAAGTGAACCATTAGGTTCTTACGCGCATAGATATAAACAGATAGACACGGATGTATTGAAATGTATTTAAGGTGGGTTTAGCTCTATGCTTCATCGCGGCGAGCAGCATAAGCATAACGGGACGACAATCGACTTTTTTTTTTTGTCTTCATGCATCTGTCGGAAAAGGAGTGAGTATTAATTCTATACATCTCCATGTAAATCGGGCTTTGCTGCGATTAACCTTTCTCTACTGTGTTCATTGCAGTCACCTGTTACTCATCCATATGTAGGAGTAGGTATATTTGGGGAAACATTAGGTATTTATGGAACTATAATAATATAAATGACATGCGGGGTCGGATTGACCCAGACGTGCGTTTCAAATAAAATGATAGAAGACGTGACAAATACTGACGCTCACAATGCACAAATGAAAAGCCATCAGGCGACAAGACACCTACACAATCTATTGTCTAAGTGTTTTGTCATAGAACATTCATAGAAGAACAAAGTGTGTACCATTGAGAATGACCAGTTGGTTTAACGATATGTAACACAGTCATACTACTGGAGTTTTACAAAGGCTCTAGAAGGCTTTTTCTAGACGAATCTCTTTTTAAACGTTTTCATGGAATCTCATGAGCCGATCGTGTGCATGGCCTTCACAAGCATACACTAAATAAGTTATGTTTGGTGTATTTATTGGACCTTTTTTGACAGCTTGTGATTTAAAGAAAAATTTGGGCAATGGCTGATTGTGTAACAGTCTATTTGTGCGGTGCAATTCTCTAGGTCCGTTATACTGGCTTCCGAGATCGACCTCGAGAGGAACGACAAATTCGATTTCAAAATGGCGTCCGTGAGGGTCATACCGACTTAGCGTTCGTTGCCAGCGGAACTAACCTCCAACTCGTGTTCAGTCCCTGCCCACCGGTACTCGGATATTCGCAAGACTATTGTGACTTTACGAAGGAACGCGGCAAGGTATAGCTCGTCGTGCAATGTAATTTAACATGCTCAAACGCCATGCTATATACATGACAGAAGGGGATATACACAGAGAAATTGTCAACTTTTTTACGTGTTTAGTCAGCTGTAAAAATCAAGCTTCTTATAAAACGTTATAATCCTTTCAAGCAGGAACGTCTTGCATGTATGTGTGCGTATATACTCTAATACATCTACAATGATACATGCACACGCATAGCGCAAATCGAGCTAGAGGTCGATTCGAGAGAAAGTTTCGTAGATTTATTCGCATTTTTATTGGCTAATCAACGCCCTTACGTTCCACCTGTGTAAGATAACCTGCTTATGGAAAAGTTGGCAGAACGAGCAATGAAGTACTCTTGCGAAACAGGTGCATCTTCGAAGTGCATTTATCATGAACGGAGTATGTGTACGATGGAGAGGCTGGGTCGATTTGGAGCGACTTGACGGAGCCGGATGCCTCGAGTTCGATGAGGACCGAGCGCGGGTAAGTGGACAATCCCATGTCAAAGTATCCAGTGTAATGAAACCATATAGCGCTGAACAAACGTCAGTGACGCCGCTAAATCCTAATGTAAACAAATTGTGTAACCCGCCAATTGTTACAGTTTTTCCATAACGTTTGGCTGCAGATTGAAGACGCAATATTACGTGAGCAAATCGAGGTGTACAACCAACGGGTCAGACAGCTCGAGGAGATTCATAAGGTCCATGCTGCGAACACAACATCAGCTACCGTTAAACGCGAAGAGGAAGTAAGACCGCGTCAGCTAATACAGTTTAAATCCTATCTAAATCAGCTTATATTGCTGACGTTTCTATTTATTTCAAATCCCATTTAGATAAGTTTACATTGCTGACTAACTCGCTTGGCTCAACAATCCAATATATTACATCCATCTCCTTGAAGGATGTCTATACATAATTTCATCGTCTTAGTCGTGAGCATTGATAGTTATATACTCGTATAGCGTCAGCGTCAGAGCTAATTTGTTTTTTTTTATGGTTTATTTTTCTAATTATATTCTTAAGTGTTCTTCAACTACAAACATCAATGATTGTTGTTAGAAATTTACGAAGAGCAAAACAATGTTCTTCATTTTAACGCTACTGGAATAGCTTGGTCGCACTTATAACCGTTTTATCATTTGTAGGCTTTGAAACAAGAATTACTTGTTCCAACCATTTACAAATATAGATTTTTTTTGTAGTATTTGGCTATCACGGCATATGCTGCGTTCTATGGAACACGTTCCCGAGCTTTCAAATAGCCAGCCAAGTTGATCGATCGTGTACCAGAGCGCAAGGATTCTGGTAAAATTCAATACGTTAATAATTGTGATTTATGAACTAATAAACAGAAAGTACTTTTAATCCACCCTAAACGCTGAACTTCAGGTACGACGTCGCGAGTTCGAAAAGGAACAACGGGACAACAACAACGATGAGATGATCCTACCCTAACAAGGCGAAGTCATTGCTTGCCTTATAAGTCCCTCTGTCACCCTGGCCCGTATTCTCAAAATGGTGTATTAATTTTCTCTAAGTAATCATCATCGTTAATTATTTAATAAATCACTGAACTCCTTAAAAGTAATGATCTAACCAAACGTATACTTTCAATATTGGGCTGTTCTTTGCGAATTCGCACGCCGTCAGCTTTTCAACAGTGGCGTTTGGAACACCCTGTCGTCAACTTTTTCATGCAATAGCCAATGCGATTGTATATCTGGTATCGTTAAAATACACAAGATAATGACGAAGTAAATTCTGCCCCACTTTGAAAAATGATGGTACAACATCGGGGTTTTCCGTAGTTTCAAAAAAAGTATTGTTTAATAATGATATTACTACATTCCTATATGACTCATACAATAAATATCTATCGAAGACCATTATCCGACATTACTGCGTCTTCTATACATTATATATGTTTACAAAATAGATCAGCTTTTACTTTAGTTCCCTCAGGATCAACAGCATTAAACGCCGGGATCTGGGGGTGCGCACCTTTCATCATTCGATAACCTTCGATGTAAAGTCTCACCCATCTTACGCACGAAGACAGGCGAACTCTTTACCTCCATCTTCTTTTGCCTATATGACAGGGGCAAAGTCCAGTAGAGGGGCGTCGTCAAACGCTAAAGCACTAATATCATTTTATTCTTGTTTTTGTGCCCTTTAGCATACATTCGATCAGGCGCTTTGACGCGCACTCGACGATGCCATTACACCGCCTCTCAAAGCGAAAGCTGGGAATATCAATTCAATTAGTGTTGAGCGTATGCTTGCATGTCGGTGCAACACGAGGCACTCCGCAGTCGTCGCTCCGCCTGCTATAAGAGCTCCTCGGGCCGTTTTGTGAGTGGCCAACTCTCGAACCCTCCGCGGAGAGCGTTAGCTGGCCGTTTTATCTTTGAGCGGCGATCCGGAGCTGAGAGTCGGCCTTCAGAACGGGGTAGTTGATGGCGATGGCGATTATGGTGATGATGATGATCATGATATGACTCAGGAGATAGACCTACCAAAAAAACGAGCGTCCTAAAGAGAATATAGAGTTCGGAAAACTATGACATGTGGAGTGGGCTCAGGAGAAAGCCTAACACCGCGATAGCGGCGCAGTGGACGTGCCCAGCAGATGATCCTGGTGGGTAATGGGGTGGGGATCAGCACAGACGAGTCAAATCAGAGAAAAACGGAATACAAAGTAAACGGTTGTCACCGTTTACCTTGTATAGATGTTTTATACCCACTTTTCAATCAGGCGAATCTACAGCATCTAAATGCAGTGGCGGCAATGGATCAAAGTTGCCAGTGTAATGTCAGCACATAATTGACACATGGTGAAAGAAGACTTGCTTCATTTTCGCTTCCATGTTTTGTTTTAGCATGGTTGTACACTATAAGAAAATTAAATGCCATTATTAAAAGCCCTTATCGAAAGGCTTAATACTCGGTAAAATTTCCACGAGCTAGATTATCATCTAGCTAACGGTGGACCAAAAGGGGGCTCATTAGGTTCAGACAATAAAAGTACAAAATTGGAGGAAAAAAGATTATCCTATTTTTGTCAGAACCCAAAAAAAATCTGCATGGGTCTTTGGAAGTTAACCACGTTGTGTTCATAATCCTTACCTTCGTGCTTTCTCAAAGAGCCCAATATACTTTCCCAGTAAATTTACGTTCAGCTTGAGTTCGACATTGCGGAATAACGGCGAAGAATTAACAATGTATAATTTAGTAGCCTCTGTTTCGTCTGATTTTGCCGTTAGGGGTTCCATTAGGCAGCTACTTCCCAAAGTGTATCTATGCGCAGGTGCGAGCTTAAACCGCAATGTGTATCTAAGATTAGTATGCAGATGGATTACCCACTGAAACTGTCACGGGGACACACTCGGATAACAGAATGATTTGACCTACTCAAATTAAAGTACGGAATGGAAATTGATTCTTTTGTAGTAGCCTTTAGATTAGGCGAAATGGGCAGGAAAAAGTGCATAAGGCTGAATATTTTTGGTAGAAGTGGTCAGACATACGTGGAAGTAGTGCGGCTGGTTATCATTGCATTTGCTACATTATATTTTTTTACTGTATATGATGACCGCTGAGCTTGTTGATGATTTCTCCAGAGGGGCATATGTTAATAAATAAGCATCCTACCTAAGGGTAGAGTACGTTTCATACCTAAATGATCATGAGCGCCTACTGTGGTTTCCTGGGTGATCCCAGATATTGAAAAAGCCGCAAAGTATCGATCAATCAATTTTCTGGTACTTGCGATGTAGAGAACAGTTGCAGCTTGTTAGACAGACATACTTTGTCTCCTTAGAGCTTGGGAGTACGAGTGAGCCCATATTCGAAGGTAATGAATAGATTAGCTGTTTAAATTTCCCACGCGATTTCATGGATGAACACCTCCAGCTTCCAGTTGTTTGACTTGAGCGGAGATTTATCCCCCGCCTTCGCAGTAATCGAAAGAAGAAGAAGAAAAGGCTGTTTTAGCGGGATAAAAAAACCTGATTTCGCACATCATGGTACATCCAAAACTGTCTACTGTCCATCAACAGCTGAACATTCGACATGCTCCTGCTAGAATCCGTTTCATGTTTTGAACAACTGGAATCCTTATTTGGCTAAAACCTCATATACTTAGAAGGCCCTCAGGTTGAAAATAATAGCTTAATTTCAACTTTCTCTTTTTTCTTCAGATGACTCAATATTTATTAGTAGGATCGTCGTTCGTAAAAATGATCTAATTTGTCGGTGAGCCAGTTCCAGTTTCTGTACGTCGAGAGGTATTTTGCTGATTTACGGAGGTTTGTGTTGCTAGTGGCAATTCACAGTAGGTGACTAAATACGACAATGGAAGTACATACGGTCTGGGTGTCCCTTAGCAGACAATAGAGATCCTCATAAATGAAGGTGCTGTTCGATGTTGCGTGAAATTAACAATACGAATGAATACCTTCGAAACGCTCTGGACATATAACACTGGTATTTGTTTAAATAGACTTAACTGTAGACATGGGTTTAGGCATTGGCGTATCATGGGGCTACTATCAAGCAAACCCGTTCAACGTTTATGTTTATGCCAGGCTAATGTTGGTGCCGCTGACAACATGTTTGCCAGCTAGGTAACGGTTAAGGCTCCGGGGATAATGTTAAACAGTATTACTAAAAAGCACGTCAGCCTATGGAGAAACGGCACGACCATATCTTGGCTTCTTCAAGCTAAATCTTGATCCCCTGTAAAAATCACAATCGGTTATTTTTTAAAAATACGCCATTATTTTTTGCGGTCAAATGCTAGTGATTTTATATATAATATCAGTATTTATACCAGTTTGTATAAAGCTTGTCTGTTGTAACGTGATCTGGTGTCTTGAAACTAAAGAATAAAGACTACCTCCGCATATTTGTATTCAAATATCAACCTTGTTTGATAAGAAGGAAAAGCCTAAATAAAATAGATCACGACAGGCCTCGTCTTAAGACGCTATGACACAATCATATCGTTCTCGTAATAAAATTGATACAAGACGTTAAGGAACCACTAGGACCCCACATGAGCAGCAATTTGATGCTGTGTGTGCAGTACACAATAGTAATACTTATGTTTATTGGTAATATTTATTAAATAATTTGCGTTAAAAGAAGCTGTCTGTATGTGCTACTACAGTAAATATCACGTCTACTTAATAGAGCGACTAATTAAAAACGTGTTTACGTATATTTATAGTATATCTATATAGGTGATCTGCTTCAACTACAGAGATAGTTCTGTTTGTACTACCAGAAGCGTCTCTTTAAACTGACATGCTGGAATTCTAATTGAACGGAACTTAATAATTTTAGAGCTAGAAATTAAACTGGATTTGAAATTGTTGAAATAAGTTCTGCTTAGAGGTCCACTACATGATGGTAGAGAAAAATGTGGCAACACTCAAAAAACTAATTTTTCTAATAATGATCAATTGAATAGTTATCTCCAACGAAAAGTGACTCATTTCCGCAACACGTCGCGCGTATATCTAAGCCTCTTTTTCTATATTACAAGTATGTTCCGGAACAAAATACATTCAATACATGGCGCTTGCTTCCTTAAAAAATTAGTGAATTTATTAAAAGGTTGAGATCAGAGACTCGCCACTATATTATGACTGTGTATCAAAATAGGCATATAATGGAATACCGTTATATCGTAAATACAGTTTTAACGAAGCTACCAACAAAAAATATATAGCGACCCCCTGCTCCCACCACTAAACAAACGCTATACCCTCAGGCTTTCATACAGAACCCCTCAAAAGTGTAGATCCAAATGCTTACTCTTCCCAAAAGAAGCCGGTCTTTTTTACAAGCTCTTCGAGTTCTCTATACTCGGCGTAGTTGCACACAAGCGAAAATCATTTATCATACTACGTACAAACGATTACGAGTTTTTTTTTTTTCTAATTAGTTAGATATAACGGCAACTCTGCCGGCAGGTAAGTTGGAAAAAACTTAAAGACATTATTTTTTCTATCATCTTTCTGCTTCTTTTTGCTAATGTCTCACCTGAAAATAATATAATAAACAGCAAATAACGTGTGATCTTTCACGGGAATTTGGGGTTCGATTTGGATCCAATGGCTGTTTCGGACATTTGATCACGGAACAGACGAAATTAGACACTTCAGAATGGCCACATGTCACTCGAGCGTTTCATTAGCTTGTAAGTTATATAGAGTCAACCCAACAACCGACGAGTACATACGTAAGTTGATTTATAACGGCAACATAATACGAGTAACTGATTATGCTGACTCGGAAGACGTCTTTCGTTTCAGTTGCATCTAGCAACAGTCACGTATCGGTAAAGAAACTGGTACTGTCTATTGTAAAGTGACACTCTAAAGCGCCGTACTTAAAATAAATCTACAGTACATATACAACAAATAATTCTCTATTTGTCCTTGACATACTTGCTCAGGCCAAGTCAAATTCCTTTAGCTTTGTATAGAAAATAAATTTGTATTAGATCGTTCATAAATTAATAAGAATATTAGTAAGCATCAATCGACGAGGCGGTAACCTCTTGTCACACGAAAGAAGCTCACTAACGTTATCAACGACTGGGTTATTCAAAGCCATTCGGAAATATTCAAACAGTTGAGTAGTGGCACTATTCTTTTAGCCTCAACTCTTAAGCGTGGCCGAGGTCACTCGCTCGGTAAAGATTTAAAGTAAGCCAAGATCCTGGGTCAGGATCGCGACATCGCCTGCAAGGATAACAGCGGTGACGAACTTGTTGAAGAAACAGCCCTATCCGACAAGAAGGCTTTACGTTTCACGCTTTTGTTAAGAATAGTAAAGAAGAGGCGATTGAACAACTCCGGTCGACCAGTCCCAGCTGAACATTGGAGCGGTCCAAATTTGTCCGCTAACATTCGAATTCTAGCTACGCTCCATATTGCTTTGACGATACACTGTCCTCGAGCGCGTAGCATGTGATCCATGGCTTTCCGCATTCGTTGTAACGACTTCTTAGTCGGCGCAACAAATCTTGCCTGTTGGCTATTACTTAGTTCGTAGATGTGTACTGTAGTATATCGCCTGGAACTCAACAAGATCGTCGTCGCTTTCAAGAACCTTTTCCAGATGACCTTTACACGACAGTCTACTTTCGGTACGCTCAGAAGGGTAAGCATCGATACATCAAGGCCGCATTGGGTAATGCCCCCGTCTTCGCTTCGATCTAGATAACCCAGCACAGAGGTATTCAACCGAAAGTCAATGGAAGAATGGTCTATTTGTTCGTTATTGTCGTTAATAAGTGCGAAAATAGGCAGTTAAATGTTTAAGCAGTGAGAAAACCATCGTAACAGCTTAATAAAGACAGTTAGCAGTAACAAACTTGCACCATAAGAGTAGATAATACGCTCGACCACTGCTTACAGTGTGGCCCGACGTGATTAATATATCTTTCAAGAACTACGAAATCAATATATCTAAATGAACATAACGTACAATTATATCTTGTTTCCTAAATGCGTTGATCTTATGGAATGGTAATCCCCTTCGTATCAACTGCCGCTCAGGTTCTAAAATAAAAAAGCTGTTTCTTGCTAAATATCTCAGTAGGAATGGAAATTCGTCTTTGTCTCCTCCAATTTTATCAAGGTAACGAATATAGTTTCAGCCTGAAGATAAAAGGACGCAAACTCTCACTTTCGTTTTGCGTCGCTCAATGCTGCTCGCTGTTAAATGTGGTAACGAGCTACGAGTCTTTTACAAGCATCTGTGCTATGCTTTATATGATATTCTAACACTGATCTGAAGACAGGTACATTTGAAAGCAAAAACGATACAGGAGGAATTCAACCATCAGCTTAAACTGTGAATCGAAAATTTATGGTCCGTTCTGATTTATGTTCAAATAGCGACATAAGTTCTTTTTGAGATTATTGGTATAAGTGCTATAAAATATCTGAAGAATATGAAATTTACTAGAAACTTTCCAAACCAGCTTCCTTAGCACAATAGTCGTTTAATGAATAACTTTGTTGGACAATCATTATCTTCCAACACGTGTATATGGCAGTTGTATATAGGATTCTATATTTTAAATCGCCCGCCGTTTACACAGGGCAACATGTTACACAACCCAGGATCGCGTCAAAATATTAAGCGCTGCCATTTTTTGATGCTATTTAAAAATGTTTCAAACATATTTTCACTCTAGCTGAGGCTGTGTCTTATTAGTTGCGTCGTCTTCTAAGCTACACAATTAGTAAGGAGCAGTAAGCTATTTAATACTTGGCCTGGTCAGTTTATTAATGTATTATTTATATATGTTAGGCAAGTCTATTGTTTTTGTACTATATAACAGTCGGATCTGGACAGGTATATAAGTGGTTTTAAAGTTTCAGCTCATTCAAAACCCCACCTATATGAAATGCTTTAGATTCGGGTAATATAAGATATCACATAACAGAAAGACAGTGACATACATGCGGCATTAAGTGCTTCAAGAAATAGTACCTACCAGAATTTTCTAACTGCTCGGTATCAATAACCTCAAAGGGCCGAACAAAGAGCGATAAGTCAATTTACAACAGTCGTACTGTGCCGTTCACCATTTCTATACATAAAAAAATGATCCTATTAGCAGCCTAGAACCGGTTTCATCTCCCTAGAGATGATCCCTTGACATATTAGCGATACTCGAGATGTTATTGGGGTTAACTCTAAGCACAAAAAACCAATTCGAAACATTAATTAGGTATAATGCGATTTATTCGTCTTTTTCTGAACATACGATCGCCTCTCAATCACAATCCCATAGGCACAAATAGCAGCAACAGCACATAAATAGCTTCTAGGAGCAACTTACTAAGACACACATATGTTAATGATCTAGGGCACCGCCTCACACGGCTCTAAATATAAATATTACAAAAACACACCAACATACCGCTAAACGTCAACATAAAACACAAACAGGAACTCAATTATAATACTGATCAGGATATATATATTGGTCAACTGCATCGCATCCCCAGGTTAACCTATTTCGGTAATGACCCGAAAAGGCAATACGATAAGAGGCTGTATGCAAAACTCGTTAGCAAGGCATAATGAGGCTGAAAATGCCGTCTAGCCAAAATCAACACAATGGTGCGGACCCGTCAATTTGGCAACACTATTTTGCCTACAAAGCACACGTTCGAACGAAACCAGATTCATTTGCACTTGTATCCTTACCAACCCTTGCAGCACATGGTCTCGTGAAGGCATTAAACGCCATCTTTGAAACTGATCCGCCCTCCTTGAGCTCTGGACAGTTATAATCGAGGCGAAGGCGAAATTTAAGCGAAATAGTTTGCTTCTGAAAACTTTTCTGCAAATTTTAATTTGTTTTCCGACATTAAATTAACAGTAAAGTATGATACAAGAAGAGAAGGACTGACAGTGCGGATACGATAGCGTATCGCTTAACGGAGTTGTTCAATGTTATATTTGTATGCAATAAAATCAATATATCGATACCGAGCGTCGAAGCAATGATTTATTACTCACTGACGACCATTAATGAAACGCAAAACAATAAACTAGGTAATTATAGATTGCCGCCTCTATCTATATGTGAGCCACGTTTGATTCGTCAATACGCGCCTACTGTGCACGACGTTGTTTCTTAGCACGAGATGAGGGAAAATTCCGGGCTGCTTCTTCCTATAATAGCGGAAGCGCAGCTCACGCTAACTAAGCAGGCGGTTTGCCCCATTGCCTCCAATCTGTCTGCTTAATCGCTGTTGCTGCTGTCGTTCGAGAGAGAGCAAAGAGTCGTGTTGTTCATGTCGCGCGCCTGTTTTTGTTACCTAGGTATATCGCCAGATGTGGGCGAAACAGCCGATGGCCAGCTAGATGTCCACTCATAGTCATCTATAGATCAGTGAAATTGGCCTGGCAAGCCATCGTATGTAGGGCCGCTGATCGTCTGCTTTAAATTACGAATAGCGCCAACTTGGATGCTGCCAGTTTCAAGCCGATTGTATCGCGTTATCGATTTTAAGTGAAAAGCTATTACTTAATAGTCAGTGTTAGCTAGTAAAGAAACACATTTGTCTAATCGAATATGTCCTCCGCTACGGACTCCGTTCAGTGTGGGCACGAACCCTTTGAATGAAGTTGCCTTTTTATTTTGGCATAAAGTGTATACCTTTTTTTGGTTTAGATTATCGTCCATCCTTTGTCCGTAACTAGCTTTCGGGTGCCTCTTCTATGACAGGCATTTTAAAATAGTGCGATCGAGTACCACTGGTCTAGCATTGTTTTGAGGACCTCGAATTAGGGTAGGAATTCGATCAAATAGCAGCTGTGCAAACCTCATGGCTCCTGTGGCAGTGTTCAACAAGTTACAGAACAGAATGCTACTAAACACTTCAGAGTGAGGGTCAAGTCGACTAAGAACCAAACATCTTTTTTCTAGTGAGCGTATTTCGCTATAACAGAGATAAACCAACAAAATGTAATACTGTTCTGCACCCATTTTGCTTCCTGTGAAAACATAGAAGGTAACTTCCTTCAGCCGCTGCGACGCATCTACTGTTTACTGATGGTCAATGCCAAAATCTAAAAAAAAATTACGAAAATAAGATCGCTGCATAACATAAAAACGCTGGCTGTTTTTCTGGTAAATATAGATCTGTCTGAGTGTTTAGTATTTCCATTTGAATTTTCTGCCGGTTCCACGCACTTTAAAATGGCTTATTATAATTATTCTTAGTCCGTTCGCAAGTCACGTGTGGTTTCATCTTGAAAAGATTCGCAAGTAGGATTTACTGGTGCATTTGGCGTTCTCTAGGTATGAATATAGCTTCTTAAGGTCGAATTAAAACTGTTAGCCAAAGCTGACCCTGTTATTGTGATAGCGTCTTCTGTTTTATTGTTCTATAGCGTGTCTCGAGATTTCAACCTGTTTCATATGTAACGTAGCTTTTGATCACTGTGAGTACTTGATTTACTCAGTTATTTCGTTGAAATAAAACGATCAAAAAATGAAGAGATGCATCTGTTTTTTCTGTCACGATTCGACACTCTAGAATATAATACCAAATACTCAGATCTTCTTTAATTCATAGTTTAGTGTTAGTCATATTTGTATTAGGTTAGCTGATCTTATGACATGCACATATAGAAAACACGCTTACTTACGTACAATTGTCTATTACTCTGTTAAAATAATTTATTCGCACCTATTATTAATGATGCCCTTACGTATTTACGTGTTTGCCTCGTTGTTGAGACTATCAGGCTATGATAGACGAACCCGGCAGATTTTAAAATCGAATAACTTTTGAACTGGTTGGGCTAAATGATTTTTATTATGGGCCAGAGGTAATCTCTTTCACTTTTTATTCACTTGTTTTCTCTGGCAGGTTTTATATGTGATATCTCGATTTATGGTTCCTCGAAATAAATCAATAATGCAATATGCTTTCCCACTAGTGTCTGTTTTTAAGGCATGACAAGTCCCGCAGTCAAACGAAGTTAGACTGGAAGAATAAACAAGACGAAAACAGGAAGGATTTTCTTTTGCCCGATCCAGGTCTCACATTGTCATCAAGTAACCAGACTGCGTGCTTTTTATTCCGTCCATAAATTTCTGTAGTACCTCGAGCAAGCTTCATTCATTTTGTCATTTAGTACATACACCTCATAGTAGCAGGTGTTTTTTGAATGAAGTCAATTCCATCGCCTGACGTCCCAACCTTTTCACTTTTCGATTTCAAATTCGACTTTTCTCCGGAGCTACGCTATTTTCTCGCCCGTTTTCACTCCGGTATAGATTGAAACATGCCTTATCTATGGCGACCGTATGCTCGATGCATTTTTTATTGATTAAAACTTTAAGAATTCCGTACATGCGGGGTACATCACACGCGTTCCCGACTGGCCTAGAGTCAACTCACGAGGGATCATTTTTTGCTCACTTTCTACATTTCCAGAATCTGAATTATAATTCTTATGAAGGACTGGTGTATTACTAACTACGTTCGTTCACTAGAAATGTGTAGTGCAAAAGTTGTTCAATTTCAAAGTCCACGGGCACTTGTAACAATCTAACATAAACAAAATTCTTACCTTATTAATATAGTGCTCGAAGTTGTTGATATGGCTGATGTGCTACATACACCTGTAGGTTTTGGTCAGTTTGCTTTTCATAGTATGCACCAGTCCTGAGTTGGTACAGGGCGGTAGCTTTATTTTCTCTACATTCAACCTCTACAAAGTTAAATTTGCGATGTTTCTAGTTTGCTTCAAAAAGTGATTTATTAGTGTAGATTCGTTACCTCAGGACAGAAAAACTTACCTATACCAGAAAGGGAAATAGTGAGCCGGTGAACTCTAGACTAGCAATAGGAACCAATTAGATTTAAGAAGCAACTTTGTCAATCAAATAATTAAGAGAACCAATGTAAAACACGGGCAAATCTTTAAAAAACATAATCGATCGGTTATCTTGAATCGTCGTTGTAATGTACAAATATATTCAATTGACGATAAAAATAGGCGGTAAACGATGCAAGCAAATGATAACTACATAAACAGTGCTTCAACGGTTTTTTTTTATTTATTTACATAACTAAGAGCAAAATCTATAAACCGCAGCCAGTTATTTTTTAAATATCTTTTCCTTGCGCTCGTCGAATTTAATTGTGAGTTACGACTATTCCCATCGTTCACTAATTTTCAGTTCCTCGTACGCCATCGATCACAATCATTATCATCATCGGCGACATTCACCTAATCATTGCTTCTGTGTCTATATATAATTCTTTTTTACTCCGGTTAGTGTGTTTTTATTTTCTATGCTACAGCCATGTCGCCGTCCGTATTTCCGAATGAGAATAACTTTTACTGCATCGTTATCACCCTATTTCTCTTCGTTTCGGCGTGATTTTCCCCAGTCGTATGCTTCCCAGACCGAACACGCATAGCTGGGGTGGTTAAGATCATTAATAATCTATCGTGTACGATATGCATACTTAAGAGCTTCCCGATAGCTTATCTTATGATTTTTCCATAGATAACGAGTACCATTTTTAGGGTCCCATCCTGGAGCCCATGTAGGAAAATACTTGTTCTTCGCAAGAATAAATGCTTCGATCTCTTCCGAGTCTGCAATGAGGTCAGGTGTATTGAAACGAAGTGTTGTGTAAGCCTTATTGACGACAGACAGCTTATCCGTAGTGACCCTGCAGAATCAACAAAAGGAACGTGAACATGACAACTAAATGAAGGGTCAACGAGGAGAAAGGCATTACTAACAGGATAGCAAAGGTTCGGATTAACAATTGACAATTTCACACTCCAACCTTTAGAGGGGATATTAAATAGCCGAGCAGTTTAACCCTTGGTAGCTTAGCTGAATTTTATTTGGTATTATATTATGTTGAACTGTTTTAAACAATTTAATGTTTGTAATTACAATTTTACTGCTAAATAGCTTAACACATCTAAATCGTCGACTCACAAGTAACGTATCTCCATCCAATCTCGACTATTTTTTTCTTTCCAGTCTGAAAATTTTAAGCTGTGACTGTCGTTCATCGCTTTTTCGAAATCAATACGCTCAATGTCTTCGATGACTGCCTTATAGTCACCAAACTCGCTCCAGTCGTAGATGAGCACTTCAGATTGCTCACGAATGCTGGGCAGATAATATTCTTCGTATAGATCCTTAATGCCTTTAAGATAATCAAGCCAGCGAATTTTCGAGTTCACCTCGTAATCCTCGTAGTCCGGACCCAAGAAACAAAAGTTACAGGAAAAAGGTAATTATAGACGACAAATAGAACCGCAAGATCTTTCTTATGTATAACAAAAAGAAACTAACTAAAACAAAACTATTACGAGATGAATCCTTATACCATAGGATCATTACAGAAGTTCTCCCACATCCGGGCTTTATTATCGTACAAATATTATTAGAAGAAATAAAAACTTAAAACATTAAATAAAAATATTTAGAAAATATTAGCATTATTATACGCCTTCGTTTACGTTGATTCTTACTTTGCAATAGGTAAAACACATTACATAAAATACAGTCAGTAGCTGCTTTGTAGAAGCTCCTTATGGCCACATGACATAATTAAATGTTTACGTTTGTTCACACTCCTTTTTCATACTACAGTACCGCATTAATTTATTCCAGACTAACAGATGTTTGAATTTAATAATAATAATAATAATGGTAAACGTGCTTTCTACATTGTCTGTATAAGGTCGCGGCGTATTTTTATTTATCATATGCAAAAACCTATGATACATCACTATGTACATACAATACCACGGTCTTTGATTCTCTTCTGAAGGATGTCAACGGGTACATCGAGATATATGACTAGATGAGGCCTATAAATATAGGGGAACGCGTGGATGCAGCAGTCGCCATGAGCTTTAACATCATTTTCGGTTATATATCCGCATTTGTAAAGCGCCTTTACGATGACGTAGTCTGAGAAAGGTGACCGCTCCAGTACGATGCCCTGGCCTAAATATACCGATAAATAAAAAAAAACGTACAAGAGCTCTAGTGATTTCTGCTTTATTTATGATGATACTTTCAGAAAAGACTATCTTTCATAAGAAAGCCTTAGTCACACACACTGCAGACGTGTTCAGCGCCCATAAATCTCATAAATTATCATATAGTATTATATCGGATTGTACTTAGCCACTAAGATGATGAAAAAAAAACATCGTCTGAAGTACTTGAGCAGCATTCGCATAACAATATAAACTCGTGACGTATGTTTGACCCGAATTTTTGTACGAATGTAAATCATATTTCGAGCCTTCACTTTGTTTTTATCTAGCCAGAAACTAGAACAACCGTCGGAAAATAGTTTATCTCGTAGAAAAGAGGATATCCCAAACCGAACTAACCATGCACTACAAAATATACAGATATATCTTTATATTATATGGAGTTACTTGCCGGTGTTGAGCAGGTGCGCCATCGCGTCACAGTACTGCTCGATACGAATGAAGAGCAACTCATTCCGAAAATTGGCAACCATTTTAGAATCAGGACGTTCGTAGAACAATTTTTCGTCAAACGGTCTTAATATATCCGGAAACACATGCTGAAGAGATCTACAAAACACACGGACAAGATAGCGAAGTTATTGTAAAGTTCTTCTACAAGTTTCTTGCACGGTGCCAAATATTGCATTTCCAACTGTTGCTTCGGGTTGTCCACGTGACTAATCGATGAGCTAATTCTGGAGTTACATGTGGAGATTACATCTTTCGAAAGATTAACATTCGAAAGGCTTTGCTGTTTTTGTTGAAGAGCGCTGCTAGAGTTTTGGTCGCAACATGTGTCCAAAAGAGGACAAATACTTAGCTAATGACGTTTGTGAGTCGTTTTATTGATCATTTAATTTCCTGCCTCTGTCCAATGGCACAAACAAAAAAACAGCACCAGTTTTTTGCATGTATCCAGAAGTATGATAGAATGTGTACAGACATGCCATGCACAGATCATCCTGTAATAGCCATTGTCTAATGATTTAACACCAGCTCCATCCATCGATAGTCTCGGTGTGCCGTCGTCGAGCTGAACGTTGTTTGCGTGTCATGTGTTCTCAGTTTCCTTCAATTCTGTACCATATGGCATATTCATTCTCGTTAATCATAGGTGGTTCTCCAACAATTCTCAGCATATACCTCTGGAAAAATCCAGGGCACCAGCTTTAATTTGTGGCAACAGCGAGAAAGGTAAGGCAGTTATCTCGAAAGCTGCGAGAAGCCGGCACGTTTCTTAAGATAGAGCTTCGCAAGCAAAAAGAAAATCTTCTCTTTATGCACATCGCGGTATTAGCAACCTCGGCTTTTCAGTGCAGCAAAGTTGCCACCTTCGGAGTGGCCTAGGATCAATGTGCCTATCTGTTAACCTTAAAGACATGGTAAGGATGTGCAATATATATCGGAAAAGTAACTTCCACCTATTTTCGGAAATGAATATTACTCTATACGAAATAAGCTCGCCAGCTAACTGGCTAATCGATTAATTATCCATACGTCTTTGTGTACAACGATTTATACGGAGTGGTAAAACTGACGGTGTTCGATAGCGCAGTAAAGACTGCGTGCTTCGATGCACCTTTGCCAGTACTCCCTCACGCCTTCTTTAGATACTATTTGACTGAGTTGTTTAAGCATTGCCTTCCAGCACCTAGCAAGTGTAGATCAACGGCTGACAACCATAACGACGCCTGCAACAAATGATGTTTGGCCTGCTTTGTGTCCCAATTTACCTAATTTTAACTGATAAACGATGACGTCACCATCAAAGCAGATAACAGTTGACTAGACAAAGAAGCGAATGATTCATCCGTTAGAAAGCTTTTTTCAATAGATAGTTTATGCACCTCCACGTTTTACGATCAATGTACCCAAACCAATGCCCAAATCAAACACGACATCATTCTCGTTGGACTATCGCATGTAGACATAGCATGCTGGACTGATTATCTCTACAAACACACGACGTTGGCAGTTCCTGTTCCGCTCTATCGGACGGCAACAACCACAACCAGCTCGAACATTGGTATGATGATTTTTTAAACCTTTTGTTTTTAAACCTTGTTCTTTTCTATTCTATTTTCGTGACGAAAATTCACAAATTACAGTACTAACTAAATACGATCTACCACCCTAGTGGTTGATGAACGAACCCCTTGAAAGTATATGTTCGATTTAAGTTCCGGTCGCCATAAACAGTAAGTGCAACGAATGCAAAATTAAACATTTACGTGTTTAACATAGATAACGGCAATTTCACGTCCTTAATATATTGCTACACAGTACTTAAGATAAATTAAAGTGAGTAGCAGAAGTACAACACTTACCGAACATCGAAGCCGGTGTCATCAATGAATTGCATATCCATGTTCACCTCTGGAAAATGGAGAAAATCGAATTCTTCAGCGATCGTCTTAGCAAGTGTGCTTTTTCCCGAACAAATACTACCCTCAACGACTATGATGCGCGAATTCTCATCAAGTCGTTTAGCAGTATCATCCAAGAACCCCTGAATGACACCGTACTTTTTTGTCTCATATGGGAATGGCTTGATGTCCTTAGGCTTCCTGTAAGGAAACATACCCACAGTGGCAATAAATACATCTACTAATAGGAGAAAAACGTGACGCAATAGGCGAAAAAAATTAGAAGAGGATGATGCATTTGGAACATACTAGAGTTCACATCCCACTTACTTCAGCAACTGAAAACTTTATCGTTTGCGCCATGATAGTAACTGTGTTGCGTTATGTTGTAATCTCCATCATTAGCTAAAATGTTTCATCCATTTTCGAGGTTATTTTGTGGAACTCGGAAAGACTTTGGAACTTGAGAAAAATCACTAGAATTTAACCAACAAATCGTGTAAGAGTTTGGACCTGGTTGATATTATACCTACACGCCTGAAAGATTCTACAAGTAGTTAACACGTAGACTTCAGTGCAAGTACTCTGCCTAGTAATTACAGTTAGGGCATGCACACCTACAAAATTGGCTCGCCTTTTCTTGACACATAGAACCACAAATAATGATGTATTCTTTGAAATTTCATGAATAAAAATGAAAAAAAATGTTTGTATAGCAAACTCAATGTTGCAATCAGTTGATTCCCATGTGCCAACAGTATATGACGAAATTACAAGATGAGTTGTAACTGTCTATACTCGGTAGAACTTTTTACACTAAAAGGTCTGCAACGTACATTACACTGCACTTACGGGTGAGAACTAAAATGGGGCTTGCCATGAGCAAAACCACGACAATCATATATTTCCATTTATCCCGACAATGAGAAGTCGTTCAGATCAAACTGATCTATAATTACATTTTCCTTAATTAAACCAACCTGATTCGCGAATAGTTCTACAAAACTAGGATAATTACTGTTATTAATTATAATTGCAGCAAAGTAAATAGCTTGGTTGAACAGGTCAAGTTAGGTCATAACCTAACTTGTAGGTATAGAAGAGTTGTATTAGATAGGTGGTTCGCACACGAGCTCTCACCGTAGAGATTTGTGAGTGATTCCAGCACGACGTTCAGTCATTACGATGGCAGGTAATAGCCGAATGGACTGAGACGTCATCCTGCCCTGCAGGCCCACCCGTAATATCGACAACGCCATGGCTTGCAATTCGCTGCTTGGAGTTTAGCTAGTGATGTCTTTCTCCTGTTTGCACTCACTCGAAACACCGATGTCCTACTCAAAGATCATACGGCTCTCTGCAGTATTTCTTGTTTTGATTTGTCTAGGACCTGGTCGATGATGTTGATCTTTGCTTAGCGCGCAGTGGGCGCGATACAGAGCTATCGCGGGAAGTGTCAGGATTTGTAGTTTATGAATCACTGCAATGTAGTGGAAATAAAATAAGGTAATCGTCAAAAAAGTGAACATCAGTTCTCGGTCGGTGAGAAGTGTTAGGTGAACATAAAGAAGACCCTTGGCCCAACTTTTAGATCTTTTGAAACCCTCTACGACAGTACATAAACGTGCAGCAAGCCATCTTCGTTAATTAAATCGAAAATGAAACAATTATATAATAACAAAGCTACTGTCAGAGGTAAGAACAAATTATTAAGTTGGCACAGGATACAGGTTGCCTGACAGATAACCTATTGAATGTGTCCTGTTTGACGTCCGGAATTTCGTTAGCACTGAATCCGACCTCCAGCACAGAACAGACGTGTGCAATCCAAAATTTATGCGTCCCTAACTTCAGACAGCGTGCACATTAACACCAGGCATCGCAAACAGAAGCTACTATTTCATCTATTGCCGTATAGAACTACGGCACACACCCTCCCAATATAACCAATTGGCAATACTGACATAGTTGTAGCAACTCCTTTATCATTCAGATGCAAGTTCATATTCTCGCGACTTTGCACATCACCAGCTCTGTGATTCGCGCACAGATCGTTCACTAATGAGATACCTTTTTGTGCGAGACAACGTATCCTCCGTGTCGTCTATGCCTAGAGCATTGGAGAGCTCACGTTTTTGCTTCTGTATCCTTTTATTCTCGATCGCTTTAAAGAAATGACGTATCAATAACTCATTTGTGATTTTTACACGAATCGCGCATTGGAAAGAGAGGCCTTGGCAAAAACACACCGTTCGAGACACCAAGATCCCGGATCAGCCGAATAATCTAAGTGTCATTTCGTAGACAACCTGTTCTTTTTGTCTCGTTCTTCTAGAAACACAACTTTGGCTAAAGCACGCAACTTAAATTGATTAATTTGCTATTCCATTTATAACAGTATTTCATTTGGATTACACTTTTCACCATCAGTAAATGCAGACTTTGAATAACGATCTTGTAAATATAGCTGTATCACTGGTACTTGTAATGGCTCTCCAAAATGTGCTTATTGCCAAGTATGTGAGCAGACGGCACGACCAAATAACTACAAAAGTCCAACATAAGAGATGAGAGAATTCGAGTAGCTTCAATGAGACTTTGTACCTCAAATACTGTTTGTATTGCTAACGATAATGGGGAAACGATCTTCTAAGTCTATAACATAGTTTCTGCTATGCACTGCGCGCAGACTCTTCAAAAATGGCTGTTATGAGCGGCATGTGCCTATCCTTTATAAAGAATATCTCCTCTATTTAGGTTACTCAAGAAACGAGTGTACATACAGAAAAACCATAGTTCATTTAATTTACTTAGATTTAAGTGTCAGCAGCCTTTGCGCAAACTGATACATGTGTACTTGTAATACCGAGGTTTTCGTAGGCCGGGTTTATCCCTGCACGAAAATACTCGGCTGAGAAACTGTGGCCTGCAGAGTTTCCTTCACGGCCTAAGTCTGCAGCAATGGCTTACACTAAGTTGGAATCCGCTTAAAATTTTGTACTGCTATATTGCGTCTGATACGTTGAGTCCGTTTTGTAAGCTATATGTTGATAGTGTAATTACAGTTAACAGGGTACAGTAAAAAGCAATAACTATAAAATCCTTCTCACAGTTTGTATTTTTAAATTTGCCAAAAATGTATATTTTTTAGCAGAAGCTTAAATAGCAGTGGTAGATCATTTTGACTAGGAAGTTCTCGATAGAGGACTGTGCATTAGCAGGTAGCATGCAGATGTTACAGGATGGGAAACTAGGCACATATTCGAGTCCCGTAGAGATGTAAGGGATAAGACCTGCGTTGGAATCCGAGCGTTTGACTACAAAACGGGAGACCTTATTGAGTTTCAGAATCTATCGAGCTATCGAGGGTAATATTTGACCCGGGGTTCAATGACAATGCAGGGTTCAGAGTGGATGAAAGTCTAGCGGTGTCATACGCGTACGTTAGCACTGATTGCATAATGCGTTAGCTTTTAATTTCCTAAAAAATAAAATTAGGGCTTTCAAGTCACAGCCTGGTCTAGTATCATCATTACTCTCCGAAGGCCAGCTAACCCTTAAAAGGTTAATATGATAACTAAACCATATTTAAACTAAGGATAACTATTTTAAACGTCAACGAAACCTGATCATTGCTGAACGTCGTTCTTCATTTCTTCTTGGAAAGTTTAACAGATTTGTAGGGAATTTTGGGAAACCAGCTCACCGGTCTCATTTCTGAAAGTAACTGTATTTTACGCAGAGCAATTATGCACCCGGTAACGTTATATTTATTATGATCACCAAGATACTATTTAAAATGCCGGACGCGTATCCATTGCTGTTATATTAATTAAGGCAGTTAGTCGTTAGATTCTTGCCAGTATGATAACGTGGTCTAGCAAACAAAAACAAGAGGCTGAGCGAGCGACCATTATAGTAACAACTAAATATAATTTGAAAATATTATATGAAATCATTACATGTTTCAATGAAAAAAGGAAAAAAGTATCATCTTAATATATTTTACATAGAGGAAGTCAGATTGAGGCGACGATTAGTGCTCTACTTCCTGACATGTACAAGTTGCGTGCAGAATCCATTTTCAAAACAAAGCGGCCCGCACGACCTCCCGTTGACCAACTAATCAGCTAGTTATTACATTGTCGTCTGCTCCAGCCTTGCCATGAGCGCGCATGTCGGAAAGTTGTCCCGCACAACCGGGATGATCCACGTTCACTAATGAAAAAGGGCGTCAGTCGCTGCCTGGCCTGAAAGAGCCCTAGAAGTCCTGTGTCTAACATCAATGCACACGGATCTTGCTGACAGCGCAGTTTTGTTACGTACAATTCTACCGGCTGCTGTTATGTAGGTGTATGGGACTTCTGAAGGCCGTACGGCAGAACCGGGTGCCGTTGTTTCTGTACAAAACTGCAGACATCTAAAGGGCAGACAAAACAGCAGAACCAGCTGTAGTCCATTAGGAAAGGCAAACTGTTTGAGGTTCACTGTCGAGTTGGCATCATCCACTAGCCAGGCATTGAACGTGACTTTTTCTAACCGCGAAGTAGCTGAATTTCTTTCAAATTTTAGTTAAAAAAAAAGTTATTCTAATTTAACTTTGCTTACACAAAAATTAACGATCATTCGGCAACAACAATTCTTTGTTCGGCCATAACCCTTCGAACTGCGCTTCTCTGTAGAACTGTAGTTGAAGTTAAGTTCGCTCGCTATCCAGCAAAAAATATAGTAGCAATCTAACTTCGAGCTTGCTTGTCGCGAACGTGTCTATGTGTTTATGTGTGTTTTCGTTCGTTGCATCGTTCATCATTATTCCAGAGTGCTCCGTAAGTTGATTATCAATAACTACAACAAAAGATCCGATCACTTGCTGAGCGGTCAACAGATATGCTTCGCTAAGCTATGTTGGAATAACTTGTAGCAATTTTATTCTCTAAGCTAATATGTGTTTTAATGCTCTAAAAGGCTAGTAGCTTTAAGATTATTGTTTGGAAATTTTGTTTTATTTTTGTGGAAATGTTGGATAATATTAATTCACATATTTTTTTGATATATTCACATATTGATAAACGGATTAATTTTATCAATTGTAGGTGTTTATAATACTAATAATAATAAATGTTTGCTAACTCAATACATGTATAACTACTATATATACCACAATATTTGTAGATCACTTAAACTTTCTGGCTAATTTCTTGGATACTAGTATATACACAGAATAGTAAAAATAATAATAAATTATATGTTTATAATTTATTCAACTCCATGATGTTTGGTTATTTTTGCGAAGCTTTCTAACGATTCTCGTTAGTGTTCTTTAGGTGTGAAATCATGTGTAATTATAAAGTATGATCGTGTAGTAAGCAAAAAGCTGCGTCGTCCAGAAGTATTTGAGCTAATTTTCTTTGTTTATCATAGGATTAAATGAAGTACAATTACGTTCGATTGTGCTTTGTTCGTCTAGATGTTAGGCATTAACGTTGGTGATGTCTACGTTTACATTACGAATACGAAGAATTACTAGTTTTCTATGCATAAAATACAACTCGTCCCTATTCGCCATTGGCGCATCTGTATAGCGCTGTTTTCCGTCGTGTCTCTACTTCAGATAGCGCGCGTCTTTGAAGCATGCCTCCCTAACGCCCCACAGTTCAATCGAGTTTCAAACCTGTCTTAACAGAGGTCGCCAAAAGGCCTTTCGAAAATCAGTTCTACCGCAGGGCTTAAGCGAATCTGTGTGCAACGTTTCTACTATAGTCGTCTGGGACCGGACAGCAGCTCAAAGTGGAATGGATACGACAAAAAAGGAAAATTTAATTTGTCAATAATGAAGTTTAGCGGACAACAACACTTATATTTGAGCTATTCATCTGTTCCGGTGGCGCAGTGATAACATATCACGTCAGTCGTGCATTGAATACTTTTTGTGCCTGTTTAGCTACGATTTTTTGTATGGTAAATAATGGACGGAAGAGTTAGATCGTGTATTTAATCATCAGCTGCAATCTGTTCTACCGGTAAAGTGTTTATTTAAACGGAACTTCCTCTAGTGGACATCTGTGCGAAATCTGTCTCGTTCCTGCGAGAGGAATACGGTGAAAGAGGGTGAAGGTTGTCTTGTCTTTAGAAAACGCTGGTCGAGTCCGTCAACGAAAAGATATGGGAGCTATAGGACTATCTGTGTGTGGAAAACTATTCGGGCATATCAAGTATGCGATAATAAACCTTACATGCGAACATTTACAGAGTTATACTGTGTACGCAAAGGCTAGAAATGCTTTGAATTTATTGATATTGGATGGATGTTGCTGATTATACTTTTATGAACGCTTTGATGAATTCGTGAAACAGAAACGCTCCCGTTTTTCTCTCAATTTTAACAATGTACTTCGATCTCATTTGCGATATGTAGTTTCTGCTCATTACAATTACTTCCTGTATGTAACACTGTTATGATAAATAACTACCGCTTTTAAAGGATTTGACGGCGAATTCAAATTGGGCGCGTAAACTGGAAATCTGCTTACCGACCGAGAACAATACAACTCATTAAGATCATACCTAGTTTGGCCATCCTTACAAACACCAGCTAAATCTCACTGCAATATTTAACTGAACATTAAATTTAATGTTTGGATGATGTCAGTCTATTTAGCAAGGGGCCAGTCGTTACTCTATTTTTGTTTGTTTCTTTATGTTCCTTCTCTTACCAAACACTAAAAGTAAAAAGAGTAATCGAAGGACACTGCGCGCACTTATTTGATTATATGGCGCGTCGCTCCTCTGACTAGCGAAAAAGGGTTCTTTTTGTGGAAGCAATGGGAGGAAAATCAGTTAAAGAATGCCTCGTCGAGCAGGAATGTTAAAAGGTTCTAAAATACAATTAGATATGTTAAAAGCGGCGGTTTGTCACATTTAATGCGAGTAATACTTTCCTATGCCGTCGGACTATCGCTACCTTCACGTGTCTTGTCAACGACACAAATTTTGGAGACCCTCGTGCGCGTGAATTTAAGCATCTGTTCCGCCTCTATGTGTAAGGCAATTGGATGTGTGGCAAGCTCCGCCTATTATTATTATTATTGCCTTATATTTAACAAATGCCGGCGACCACTGCCGTGTCATAATAATGGATTTGTTATATTTACACTGGGCCGCTATGTATGAGTGTTCGATGTTGTCCGTAATAAATTCGTGCGTTTCGTAGACCCGATATGCACTGGGTTAATCGAAGATTAAAGTCCTATACATCTATTAATTTTTCGTGACTTGGAATCTATCTAGTGTCAATCATATGGTTTCCTCAGATCCCTTTGTTAGTGTTAAGAACGCTGAGATTGCTCTTTCATAACCTCATCTATTCTGTGATGACAAACGTACAGTCTCACCTTGAAGACTACAGCAGAAGGTGACGCTCTTCAGCGTGGCTCAGTTTTGACATTCGACAGGTTAAGATTGCGAGTGTCTTATTGGCTTACGGGAGCTACCAACTACATGTCACTCATTTGACAAAGAACACGTCAATATTGATGAAACATACAAGAGGCACTTCTGCTATCTAAGTGGCGCTAGATTGGAGCTTTTGAAGCACCGCATACAAAGTTTCGATACGTTGAGGGTGAATGATGAATGTTTTTTTTTTTATGTTATAATAATCGGGATTCAAATTGTTTGAGAGTCATAAAAGTGTGCTTGGGTTATAGGCTCTGACCGGATAAATTTCTGATACCTGTTTATGTGCTCCGACCATACCTATTTGAACAGTTGGTTCGAGTCTATAATATGTCCTCTGTTGGAAGTAAAAAAAACGTATTAACCTTTACAAAATAGATTACAAAAGTTGTACAAGACATTACGATACTTCAAAGCATTTCTATTGCCGTTCTACAACTAGGAAAGTCACTCGTATATAATAGTTATACGTATCTATCACCTGATGAAGCTGCCATTGCTAGAAGAGACATGAGTTTGAAAAATAATGCGTGGACAGAAGGTGGTGTTCAGGCAAACACCGTATATTCGCTGCGTCTGCTGTGTTGGTTATATCGCTTTCGTAAGTTCATCCAGAATCTGTGTGTAGTTACTTCATAGTAGCCACGTAGCTGGAAGCGGATGCAGGCCTTTTTGCACGTGATGGACAAATCTTGTTTACGTTTGCTGTCCCTTTAATTACCTTCTGGGATGCTTACGTCGTTAGGTACGCGTCGTCTGCTTCGCAATAGGACAAAGGATATTCAGAGGATACTAGATCCAGCATAAGCTTCGACTATGGGAAAAGTATCACTGAGCATTGGGGCTATTCGATGTTTACGTTTCAAATGCAAATGAAAAATACGAAGCCGCCATAGTGTATTAGTTCAACTGTGTGTCGCAACTAGTAAAAATCGTTTGTTGGATTTTGTGTGCGTTTTTTTCTTTGTAAGAGAATTCATAGCGTAGATGATCCGGTATGCTGCAAAATGGAGAAGCTTAGACATCACTGGACCGGAATTTGCTGATCAGATGAAGTAACTCAACAGGCTGTTTCGAGTCGCCTAGGTGCTATGGAAAAGATTCAGAGCACAGAAAAGTGGGGGCAGAATTTAAAATATGGTACTTCAATGTACTCGTTTCATAAGATCGCCTAAAATAATTTCCCATATCAAATACTCAATTGCAGTACGAAACAGATTTTCTAACTTCTTTTCGAATGGAAAACGGCCGGACATTTAGCCGAGTCTTGGGTAAAGTGAGATATTTGCATGAAGACAATGTTCTAACAGAAAAATAAGGCACTTTATTGGTTCGAAGAGCTGCGAAGTGACTTCGATGCTAACAATCTGTTGGCCGTACGGCTTTAGGGTGCACGAAACCAACCACATTTAAGTTAAGGCGACAAGTTGTTCTTTATACGGTTCATTCGGCAAACCTGAAGCCTCCAAATTAGCGCCTTTTAGGTCGATGCAAGCTCTGTTCGCGGATGAAAAATTTTCGAGACTTGAGGAAATCAAACAATGGATCATCGATGATTGTTAGTTGCAGACCTGAAAATCTCATCAGAAAAAAATACTTAAATGTAATAATTACTGATCACAATGGCAATTATTTCGATGGTTGAGACGTCAACATAGTTTTAGAAAGTGAACTTATTTGTACACTTAGTAGGCATCTAAAGACAATTTGCATGAACCCCAAAACATACTTACTTATGGGATGTTTAGCTAACTTTTGGAGTACTTATGTTGCGCACCCACCTGAAAGGTTTTACGAGAATATCGGTGACACCAAGAAGTTTCAAACGATTCACAGCTGAAAAGAAAAAAAAAGTGGACTTTGGCGCGAAAAAAAAGAGATTTGTAGCTGGGTAGATAGGCAGGTAGTGACACGATATTGCTACTATACTTCATGGTCCAGGCAATGCCGTATGGTACCTGTTAATGGCAGGCTGTATTGTTGCATGTGTCGTAACCGATTCTTACAAAATTCTCAAAGTCATCGTTTACGTGCATATCTAATAAGGGTAAAAGTAACCGCTATCAGTCGTCGGGTCAGTAGATATTCTGCTTCAAGACTGCATGTGGAGGGGGCGTGAAGGGACACAGAAATATCTATGTGTTTGTGAGAGTGTCCATATTTACAGACAACTACTGGGAGTATGCGATTTTCAGATGCGTGGGTCTAAAGACCATTGTCCTTCAAAAATCATTAGTAATTTCAAAAAGAGACCACTCCTACGTTTTGTGGCTTCTCTTTATGAGGCGCGTGCATTAGTGCAGTCACCTAACGTAAGTTGTGAAGGCGGGATTTAATCTGTAATAAAATATCTAGGGTAAAATATCTAAGTATCTAAAATATATTAATTGCTCATTTATCTAATTGAGTATTATTATTATTTGACAGTGCATGGTATGTATGGATTTGAGGTCGTTTTAGGAAACATAGATGACCAAATTATGCACATCTACAAAGAGGCAGTTCGTGGATTCGGAAGTGTCACTTTTCCTTTCCTCGTTCTTTAGAATGTTGTACTTTTAGCAAGTTGGTGGTTTTTGTTGAACCAATGGTAGGCAAACGCTTACCATTGGTTCAACAAATGGCACGTATATGTGACGTGTGCGTCCCTCGCCGAACAAGCACAGAAGTCATGAAAGCGGCCGTGCAGTACTTGTATCGTTGCATTAGATGAGAGTTTCTTTTAGCAAGGACTCTTTGTTACAAGAAACCGGACGTTCAGCGGGTCGTCGTTGCTATTCAATGCAAATGGTGGTATACCATGTGGAGGCTTTTGATGTCCGTCCACATACGAATCAGGGTGTGGCACTATATCAAATCGACAAGCTCACTTCCGATTGAAGTGAGCAGATAAAGCAAACTGCTATTGAATTGATAGTAGTAATTGTCGACTTGAAAATCGAAGGTGTGAGTCTTTCGTGCTGTCTAAGAATAGCTCTCGTTTGCAGAGTTGCGTGGCAGACAAAAACTGGGTCGGGATAGTGCTTTCGAACTCGAGTAAAAGCCTATTTAAAGACAGGCGTCAGTCTCCAGTTTGACTTCGGTAGAACGTAAACCATTGAAAACTGACATACAATAAACCTGTATTCTATGCAAAGAGACACGGCCGATTATTTTTATTGATGTCAATATATTAATTATGCACACGTTCGCTTATGATTGTTGCACCGATAGGTTAGTGAGACTTATATCGGTAATGGAAGCTTCCAACGCCACACCAGTTCGGAGTTGGCAGCATCTTCTACTTTCTAGGCCGAACAAGAAACAGGATCGCTTCCGCGAGCATATCAACAATAAATTTGCTCTCAACTTAGGTAAGTTGACAATGTTGGTAGGGTAAAAAAAGAAGTTTGTTCCGAATTACTCTATAACCACATGAGTGCTTTAGATGTGTGGTAATCTTAATAGTTATCATAACGCTCAAAATATAGCCCTACAGTGGGAAAAACATAGATTGTCTTATCTCGCTGTTTGGAGAGCGATTGTATGGCTGAACGGGAACGATCTCCGTTTCGCCATGTGAAAGTAGAAAATGGTTTTTACGCATTTGCGGACCTGTTAGACCTCTTTATAGCTGAAGCGCTCAAATTCTGAGTGTGAAGCCGCAATAGCGTATATATACGAAGTAATGTACTGCCTAATGGAAACACAATCGTAATAACTGCATCTTTATCTCTTCTTCTTAGGTAACTATCACGAACTGTACCGATGGTCAGTTGATCAGTATCCTTTGTTCTGGGAAGAATATCTTCGGTTTTCAGATATTCTCGTGTCATCACAATATACTCAGGTTCGTAGAACTCGACCGAACACCTATTTTCAATATGCGTATGCATAGCTATATATATATATATATATATATATATATATATATATATATATATTTTTTTTTTTATCTAGATAGTAAAAAAATAAATACGCGTTAAAATAATAGTACGACGATAATGGCTGTGTAGATAGAACAGCTAGTTCTTTTGGGTACGTAATGTTATTGTTAATGTTATTTTGTCAGGTCATTGAAGATGTTCCAATGGAGAAGATCCCTCGATGGTTTTCCGGCTGCCGGCTTAACTACGCAGAAAACTTGCTACGCGGACCTGACGACGCGGTCGCACTATACGTTACAGGTAGACTCGCGTTCAATCAAATGTTTATTTGTAACGATTGCTGAGTTTGACGATTGGTAAATGACTGTTACTGCTGTTGAAGTTAAATGATCCTGAATTTCTCTGGAGTTTTGAACAGCATGAGAGCCTCTACGTACCATTTTCTTGTATTTAAGCGACGCATCTATGTGCTTCCGGCCGTGCTGGAGCTACTAAAAAAGAATATCCTTAAACAAACCGTTTCTTGTATAGTATCACTGACATACGAGCAAACAATTATGACGCTATCTTTTTTATAGATGAAAAATTTCGCAAAATCTACAAATGGCTTGCTATAAACGTCCCGCATTAAAGAACATATACCTAATAAACTGGACGTATAGACCTCTGATTAAATGAGACTAACAGAAATTGCTGCTTCAAGTCCTACCAAAGACACACACGAGTGCTATATAGCCTGTGCGAAATACAGTGGCTAACAAATTTGTTGGCTCACGATCGTTATACGGGCTATGCTAATTTATAATGAGAAGATTCGTACAAACGAATTCCTTTTAGAGCCTGAAATGACGACTGAGGTATGTGAATGCCATTTAACCGAGTGCACTAAATAAGTTCTCAAGTCGAAAAATACTTAAGAAACATTTAATACGGTACTCGCATACTCCTAGCGTACGTCATTGTTAGCTGGGTTTGCCGCACGTAACAAATATCCGAAAAACGTCAAAGGGCATTATCTTCAAATGTTTCTTTCCAAGCCTTTCACCTCGTATTGCTTATAAATTGTAGTAGGGATCAATGTTAAAATTCTACCATTAAATTTGCTGTTTTTTTGGGACCATGCAATTGGATAGATGAATGGCTATCGATCAGGAAGGTGACTTTTTCTGAACTTCGTCGAGAGGTAGCTCGTTATTCGGCAGCGTTACGGCAGTTAGGTGTGAAACAAGGAGATCGTGTGTGTGGGTACGTGGGCAATACGGATCATGCAGTTACGGCGTATCTAGCCACCGCGACGGTTGGTGCAATCTGGAGTTCAACCAGCCCTGATCTTGGATACCATGCGGTTATCCAGCGATTTCAACAAATAAAACCAAAGGTTAGAGTGGTAAAAATGCAGCTTCAGTATACACTATACGATTCCAGCTCGAACGAGAGCCCGAAAGATCACTGGTAGGTTTTGTGGCCGTAAAACACAGTCCGTATAAAAATACTGGCGCCTCGATGCGGTAAACTTGACTACATATATATAAGTTGCACCGCTTTTCCTTTATCGCTAATTTACGTGATAGTTGACATTATATGAATATTGTTTGATTTCAGGTTATATTTGCTGTCGACAGGCAGACATACAATAAGAAAATACACGAAAAGCTTGACAGTCTGCGGAACATCCTTGAGCGTAAATAACGACGATTCTTAGTATATAACAAATATTGGAATTTCCTAATTTGACTTGATACATTATTTAGCTAGTGCGAGCAGATTATAAGGAGATTGAGATACACTTAACTAGAAAAAAAAAAAAAAAGAAAAAAGTATGCATCTATTCATCGTAAAAAGCGTTCCTTTAATTTTACGTTACGTCAATAATTAACCCGGCTCAACCTTATTCAGCGTTAGATTCTGTGGAGAAGGTGATTATACTTCCTTACGACAAAACACGCTTGGATATATCCAACATACGAAACGCGATCTACCTCGATGAGCTTCTCGCTGAAGTAGGGGATTCGTCAAGCTTGCAGTTCGAGCAGGTAGCCATGCATAGAACTAGTTGCGATCCATTTCTTTATGAGTCATTCGAAAGTGTATTTATCAACATAGGATTAAAATTTCCACTTCAGTACAGCCCTGCATTATAATATAGGGGTATGTGGAAATTAAATTTAGAACTTCCTTTTCATTTTGTGTTCGTGCGATCATATAGCCTCAAACGACCGCTTGCAGAGAAAGACGCTCTACCGAAGAGTTAGAAACCTATGATTTTGCTACGCTGTTATCAATTACAGTAGTTTATTGCGCTGTATATAACGATAAGAAGTTGAACCCTGGTGAGAAGAACATGAAAGTTAAATAATTCAAAGAAAAAAAATAAGGGCCGCTATCTAACATCGAATCGCACCTTTCGATTAGGTGGAATTTTCTGCTCCGTTGTGTATCTTGTTTACATCAGGCACCACTGGACGACCTAAGTGTATGGTACATTCAGTTGGCGGAACACTCATTCAACACAGAAAAGAACATGAACTGCTCGGAGAACTTAATGAACATGACATATTCTTCTACTACACCACGGTATACTGAACCTTTTGCCGTGTTATCGCTTAGACGTTAGCTTTTTCATGAACGATCTATGAGTCCGCATGGCTAATGAAACCCCAGTTTATGCAAGCTTTTGAGACGGCTAGCGTAGCTAGATTCTCTTTCGGATATACGCTAATCTGTTTATTGTAGACATTTAGCAAATGATGATATCCGTTGCGTTCAGACCGGGTGGATGATGTGGAACTGGCTCGTATCTGGTTTGGCGGCTGGAGCAGCGTTGGTTCTGTACGAAGGTGCCCCTATGCCTCGGGATGAACCGTTCGTGCTGTTTGACATCGCGGCACGCGTTCGGATGACTGTGTTTGGCACCTCTGCCAAATATCTGGCAGCGGTCGAAGAGCTCGAAATAGGTGGACTTATAGGTTAGTGGCAATAGCGCTTTTCGATTCAGCCGCGCGTGTGTTCCGTTGACAGTAATTTAATAATAACTGTTTTTCTCAACAGCCAAGCGGTTTGACTTGAGTACTCTGCACACAGTGTTGGCGACAGGCTCAACGTTGATGCCACATAGTTTCGATTTCGTGTACAACCATATCAAGGAAGACGTCATGCTTGGTAGGTGCTCAGAAAGGTAATCCATGTCAAATGGGTAATCTGTTTCTTCACGGCAATTAAGATTCTCGTTAGACGATTTTTCGAAGCTATTGCCTATTCCCTTGTTTTTGACACAGGTTCAATTTCGGGCGGGTCTGATATCATCTCATGTTTTGTTGGTCAGAACTGCACTTTGCCTGTCGTTCGAGGAGAAGTGCAGAGTCGTAATCTCGCAATGGATATTAGGTAAGGCTTGATCACCCCTCGAGAATTGGCCCTTCAACGGGGTAGCGGCGCTGCTGTATGAAAAAAAATATCTTATTTTGAGTATTTTACCATAACGGTTGCTAACTCCTGTAATCAGCCCGTTTTCGAAAAATATTTTTGTTCTTTGCACCTATTGATCTCCTGTTCATGCTCCATCTATGTACGCCGTATTATACTCTACACTATAATATATTTATTATAAATAACGATAACTGCGGCGAAGGTGCCGCCTGTGAATAGTTAGGTTACAGGACCCCCTTGGCACTTTCGCACAGATGACAATATGATGTGAATTAACCGATGCGAATGATATGGCTTCGATTTAGGGCCTTTGATTCTTCAGGCTCTCCCGTTGAAGGCGCCAAGGGTGAGCTAGTGTGCTGTAGCCCGTTTCCTTCTATGCCAGTGTTCTTTTGGGGCGATAAAAATAATAGGTTGTACCATAAAACGTATTTCGAAAAGTTTCCAAACGTCTGGCATCATGGAGACTTTTGCCAAATCAATCCCGCCACTGGAGGCGTACTTATGCTGGGCCGAAGTGATGCCACTCTAAACCCCAACGGAATACGATTTGGATCAAGCGAGGTTTACAATGTCGGTAAGTCATCAAATGTAATGACTGCATCGATAATAGTTACTGCGATAGAGTGACAAATACGGAGCGCGACAATTGCGAAAGCGCGAAAAAAAGCATGTAACTATTCAAGTTAGCGAAAACATACTGCTCTGTATCGTCTCAGCGGACTAATTCGTTATTCTACAACGTAACCTTTTGCAGTGGATACCATTGTGAATGTGGAGGACAGTGTGTGCGTTTCATACGTATCAAAAAAAACCAAGGACGAGAAAGTCTGCCTATTTGTCAAAATGAAAAGTCCCCACACCCTGACTGAGGATATTCGTAAATCGATCAGTATCGCGATAAGAGACGGCCTCTCAGCCCGACATGTGCCCTCGTTAATCGCAGAAGTTGTTGACATTCCAGTAAGTTAAACGGTCCAAAATGGACACAGGCTTGTATTTTGCTTCAAATTGAAACAGGTCGTACTTTATTTACAAAGAGTACTCAATACGTTTACTGTTTGATCTTATATCGTATAAAATGCGGATTAAAGTTATCGCGCCCTAGTCACTCAAAAAAAACATGACCTCCGTCGTCATAGCCGATGTCTATTAACGTCCCCAACACGAAAGTCACGGTACTTGTCTAGATTGCAGTGGGCAACTCTTAAATGGGGTACGTAAAGCGTTTTCAGCGACACGGATAAAGAGAAGTTCTAGGAGTTCCTAGTATCTCGTAGACCGAGAGATGGATTTTAAAAGGAATCCTATCCTTGTAACGTTAGTTTTTCCATGAGGATTTTACGCTGCACAGTTAGTTGTAGTAATTCTGACCAGTCCGTTTTGGTGACGTGCGGTATCTATCGAACTTAGTATCATAATAACCATGCCTCGTTGCTCTTCCTAATTGCAGTATACCCTGAATGGCAAAAAAATCGAAGTTGCAGTCAAGAAGATCATCAATGGTGACACTCGAATCGATACGAGCACTATTGCAAATCCAGCGTGTCTTAAGTGCTTTGAGGATTTGGCCCCGGAGATTGCAGCTCTCGATTAAAAACACAATAAGATGCTGAGGCAACAATCACGTCAACAGTGGGGCATTATTTACTTTTCGTCCGCTGTTTGTGTGTGTGTGTGTGTGTGTGTCTTTGTCCGCTGTTTGTTAAGATGCAAAAAAACGAAAACAGGTGGCTTTGTATCATCTGTAAATATGAGAAAAGAAGTTTTTAAATAGCTGACGATGAAGTATTCGGGAATTGCATGTTGTTTCCCCACCGTTCATTGTTAACGTGTCCACAAATAGAAGCACTGAGATTATCTTTCATTTGCTAAGTTTCGTTACATTAATGTGCATGTTCTGAATAACTGACAAAGTTATTAATAAAGACAGCTTTCAGTAAAAACACAACAGTATGTAATTCAATCTTATATACCGGATGTTTATTTTATAACATTGCGGCAGTATTGTTTTACTAATAGCAGGAGAAAAATCAATGTTTCTCTACGAGCAGGAAATCAAAGTCTGAGTAAATTGATTTAAATACAATCTGCGGAGGATTCTGCACCCATCATATGATGTAAATTATTCACTCTGTGAGAATGGTCGTTGAAACGTGCGAGCACGTTCTTTCTTATGGTCTGTTTGCACCATTTAGGTAGTTGGTACATGGATCGTTAGAACGACAGCGGAACAGGGCATGTCGGAAGAAATACCCAGCAACGAGATCGATGCCAGCACACCCTGAATCGATCAGGTATTGTCTCGATGAAGCTCCGCGTCGGCTTCATTGACGCCACAAACATACGTTATTGCAGCAGTCAGTGTTCAATGGGGGGTGAAGCAACTTTCGAGGTGTCCAGTATTTGACACTGTGCCATTTCTTGTTAACTTAGCGCTATTGTAGTAATGTTATGTTACAATAGGAATCTATTTTATTTGTTCATAGTATGGTACAGTCCATTCCTAAATTAATAATCGTATATATAAGACCCACAACTGGATCGCGTTGCTGTTACGTTAGCTCGTGTTATGTATACGTTCTTGTTGGCCAAGACGATCGCGTGACATCTAATGTACTCTCAGGCGACCGATTCAAATAGGAAGCGTATTTTAGCCAACGCTATAATGGCAATTCACGTTTTTTTCATTCAACGATCTATTATATGAACATATTTTCAACTTACACGGTAACTCCACAAATATAACTGCACTTGATAATCAACTTACATGACCTTAGACATTAACGGATATGACGAGTTGACATTAAAACTGAAGGTAGTCAAACATTAATTGACTCCAAATTGTCAACTACGACACTCAATTAATTCGACTACAAAAGCTTTGTGGGCAATCCAAGTAAATATGGATATCTCACTTGAAACAGGCTCGGTTTATACAGTCCTGAACCTGCAAGCATGACTTCACGAACTATCACAGTGCGGAGCTATAGATTATTTTCTGTCACCGATGATTGTATACGAGTGGCGCTCAGCGACCTGTGCGAAAAAAACTCATCGTTATTACCTTTCTATTTTATCAATGGCTATTTATGCTAACTGAAAGTGTATTCCCGTCTGGTCCATTCATGTTTTGTGTCGAGGATCTTGATAACCACTCCTGCTTGTGACGCGAGCCCTGCAAAAAGAAGTAATAAGGACGCATCGTTTGAAACGGATTCATAGTAGAAAGTGTCGGAAATCTCTTCCGGCAGTGTTAGATCTATGGGGGCGGAGACTGAATTGGGTAAATAGGTAGCTTGCCCCTGCTTGCTTCTACTAGCTGGTCTTCTAATTATAGAATTGTCGATTATGGATCGTTGTCGTAACATCCAACGTGCTCGTCTTAACGTAATTTTTGCTCCGACCGAATCAAAGCAAAGGTTGGCCCTCTCCATTTTATGCCTAATCTTTTTCGATATAGAGGTACTCTTCTATACGAATGATCCTCTCTGCTAATCATTAATTGCTAACACTGGCCACCAGGAACGATGGAAACAGAAGCATGACCATTACTTTTGCACTGTTGAACATTAAAAAAGCAAATTGATTTTGAAAAGGCATGACAACACACCCGTGACCGTCGTCCGCATCTATATTGCCGCAGCTGATCAGCGAAATGTTTTTTCTGGCTAAAATGTATGTACATGGAAAAGCTCTATTTTCTCATAGTGCAATAGAATTGCTGATTTCTTCACACGATACAGTCATCATTAGATTACAATTAGAGTAGACTATAATAAAAGAATCGTATATACCAGTACCTACTTATGACGTCCGTTAACATTTTGCGTAATCATATATGTCGTACTGCATCCAGCTTATTCGAAGGCTGCTATGCAATATAAACAGCACAATCTGCGCGGACTTCCGTGAAATAAGGTTATTCTGTTTGAAAGCGACCATGTCGCCAAAAATGTCCCAGTTCTTTCGACTATTGGTAATAAGATAAGAAACCGACTTATTCCATAGCTATGTGTAAAATCTCGAAGAGACCGCTGTTTGTTTTGCGCGTCCGTTTGCTCCGTCTAGATTAAGTACCGCTAAGACAAATTCAAGCACATTGTTCATGGGGTTAGTTGACGACGTCTCTGATATATTTAGCCTGGCCATGCTATCTCAATCAGCCCGCGTGTACTGTCGTCGACGCCCTGTAGCCGCACGCGATTAAGCGGGACCTGCTGGCCCTCCGCCTTCTATGACCTTTCCTGCGCGATCAGCCCAGTCGGGGCCAACGGTGAGAGATGCTCTCGTCACGTCCGGCAGCCAGCCACGGCCGTCGGCGTGTCTGTCGTTGTTGCCTCGACAACTTCGGGCTTCTTCGAGCCTCGCTTGTTCTGCAGGCCTTCGCCTGTAGCTTCGTTTTTGTTCGGGTGTGCGCCAACTCTACGAACTCGACAGCTTAAGCGTGGCCGTATATATCCGTTCACCGCGGCCCCGCGCTTCTTTCAACACAGTTCAGCCGCAACGTCTGTTGTCCTGTTTTTGTGTCAGCTGTTTTTACGTTCCCTACAGAATACGGAATGCCCATGAGGATTGCTTACTCCAGCCCTGGCTCGGCGATCGATCGCGTTCGGGCCGTGCGCGACGATCAGTGCATCTGTGAACGTGTTACCGAAACGGACTACAATCTGACGTACAAAATGCGAGCAGCTCAAGACGAGCATGAAAAGACCACACAGCGAATTGTACCAAAGAGTGATACGACCCGATACGAGGCGTTAGATCAAGCGTTTTGCCGTCGCTTCTGGCCAGCTGAAGCGATCCAATGCCGTTCGCGCCACGAGGCTCACAAAAAATTCATGGAAGAGCGTCGTCTTCAAAGTATGCACGATCTGTGGGAGCTGGAAAAAGATGAGGAGCGAAGGGTACGGACTCGGAAGCTTTTTCGTCCAGAAATAGCCGCTGTACCGGAAGTACCTTTGCACCCCTTGTATCGTCGGCCTCTGGGTATCTACTCACGACACTAGTAAATCTAGTACCGGATCGGCATAGACCGACTAGACGAGCTACATAATGAATAAATCGGAAGTGAAGCAAATAGGATGACCATAATGAATCGCAAGTTAGTGCTACACTGTGTACATTTCAGTCTGCCACATCTTCGACCCGAATGGTCGATTTGAGCGGTCACTTGAGCGCCGCTCTCTCATATTCTATACAAAGAGATGATTAGCTTTTAGTCATGTGAGTGATTCGATATACGAGTTGTTCACAGCGAGAAAATGAATAAAGACGTAAGTTGTCTGTTTTGTGTATGTAATTTTGCCCTTTGTGCGTTTTTCTTTTATAAAATGTGCGAAAACAATTCAGATACAATCCAATATATCTTTTTTCGTTTTTTATTTTTTTTCGTTCCGAACGTACTATTTCGAGTATGTTATTCCGGCAGGCCGTTATAGTTGATGTCTTCAGAAAACGCGTAGGGAAAACCTCGATACTTACTAAATCGAATATGCAGGCGTCTTAGCGTGGAGGCCACGCTTGGCCCCATTTCGGCCGAGGTCTGTTTTTTTTGTGTTTACGATGTCTTTCAGGCTGATCTATCCGCTTGTGCGTGGGTCTATGCAGGGGTGAATTTATCTGCTGTGCCTGAGATCTTCGAGCACCATGTCGTTAAACACGAAAATTTTTCAACGGCAGTCATCAGAGTTAAAAGTACTCTGGAAACTGAGATATAATCTCTTTTGAATTTATACATAACTTAAATACTCTTTAGGTGAAATATTTTAATAGCTTATCGATAAGTTAAAAAAAATTATCTCTGTGCTGACCTTGCGCTCTTGTAGTCCAATGCAGTTCGCGTGCAGTGATTAGATCTTTTATAGAAAAAAAAAAAAAAAAAAAAAGATTTTAAAGCAGATTTGCTTTTATAAGAAAAATATTGGTCAAATGCTATCAATTATTATAGAAGAGTTTTTCTTATATTATGCCGTCGGATAAAACCGTGCTAATGTACAATTGATTCCTCAGCTTGCACTACTGCCGTTTAACATGTGCTTTCCAAAGATCTTGTTTATCATTGATTATACCAGTTACTACTTTTAGTTACCGCTATTGAATCACCGTCACAGATGATGAAGTTATCACCTGTAAATGATTCAGCTGGTAACAAATCACAGTGGGATGCTACCTGTCGGTCCTGCAGCAGGGTTCTATTCGTGACTGATTCGCTTCCATTACGTAGCAAGGTCGTTCAACTGGTTCGACCGGGCAAAGACGTTGATTCAATAGAGGTACAACATCAATGATATCGTTTAAGCGTAACTGTAATGTGTGAAAGCGTTTTCTTCCCAAGAGTCTGCGCCAATACCTGCCGCTGGTAAGCTGCCCTCAATAGCGTCAATGCTCGAACTCGCAGAGCTTTCGGATAGTCTATGTGACTAGTCTGGGAACCTGCACGAAGGCTGCAGTCTGAGTTTTGTCGGTTGACTTCCCTTTGCAGCCGCTGTTAGTAGCGCCGATCAGACCTGTTTGTAGGGTGTCATTCTGGTTTATAAACGTAGCCTTTATTGAATTAAATTTCACATAGCTAGACGTATGGCATAAGAATACTTCTAAGTAATGTAGCAAATGGAGCATCGTACGATTTCTGCCACTTGTTTCCCTATAGAAAACTGAAGAAGTTCGGTCAAATGTTTGACAAAAATATATTTATTGTGTAACAAACACTTAAAGCTAGATGCGACAATGGATATGTTTCTCTTTACGTATGACTCACACACGTTATTGCTTATCGCTGAGATGTCATCGGCTGGAAACGCTGAATGTTCTGTCCCTTTTGATTTGCCTTATAGCATCTAAACGCTCGAGCTCGTAGTTCGTAGATTTGCTTGTAATGAACTAAGTTTGTCTCAAGAATGAAGACCATCCAATATTATTAAACTAAACAAACTGCATGATTTGTACTGTTTTTTTTACCGCGATCATTATTTAGGGATGCCCACCCTTAATTTGTTATTCTCTCAAATTACTCACTGGTGGCGCTGCATCTCACGACCATTATCATCACAAACGTTATCATATAGACAAATGTTTATTGAATTCTGCTTTCGTCGTTTCTTCAACCAATAAGCACTATTAGGACAAACAGAATTGACCCGGCTTTCACAACCTGTAATAAAGACCTAACCACCGGTATTAATTTCGCATTTACTTAAGAGGTGCAAACGGTTTATCAATAGATAACTATGTATCTTAATTATAATAATAGTTGAGGCTAACAAGAGTGCGAGTCAGAGAATTGTTGAGGTTTTCTATATTTTAGGTGCTTATCAACCTTTTCTCGCGTGATGATTTTGGCCATAAAATCATCATTGCGATGATTACTATCTTCAGCAACTTCAGCGTTCCGGCATTCGTTCTTAATCGAGTCACGTTTACTGCTGCTACTACTCTCTGCAATGATTGTTTCATGGCATTTTCGCACGCCATCGTCCAAGTCTGCTAAGTTTCTACCCTCCTGAACATTGCCCGAGTTTCGTCCGCGACTGATTTCTGCTTGTAGCCATGATGCTGCTTGGCTAGCATAGATATTAAGTGGGTTAACCGCAAACGACACAGCCATACTGTTGAACGGGGAGTCGAACGCGCTCGCCATAAAAGGGCTGGCTGCAAATGGGGGCGGTCCATGGGGTCCCATAGGGAACACCCCGTTTCCGATTGTTCCATTGCTGCATGCCGAAAGCGCCATTGTTTGTTGCTGCTGCTGCTGCTGCTGTTGTTGTTGTTGTTGTTGTTGTTGTTGTTGTTGTTGAAGTTGAACTGCACGTTTGTTGTGCATCGCGGCGAATGCTGCCTGGGCTGAAACAGATGGCCGGTAAGGGGCGAGTGGCCTGATGGACGCAGGAATCGCGCCGAACGGTGCCAGCGCAACGAGCTGATGATCACCTTTCTCTTGTTTACGCCATTTTGCGCGACGATTCTGAAACCAGACCTGGCGGAAAAGACAGGGAAGAGGTAAGTGTTGCATCGTTATAAATTCTGAGCTCTAGCTTGTTACTATTCAATTTAGGGGAACCTGGAGTGGATACGGTTCGTTTCGCACCGAAGTTAACTGGAAATGCTTAGCGGATGTATCAAATGGCCCCAGAGTCCAGTGTCCGATGGAGCTTGCGCCGTCGGTTGGTATCACTCAGGTCCTGTCGGGTATAATAAAAACATTTAGCGAAGGCGTTACGTCGTAATAATGACAAGTATTGTATGCGGCGCTGCATTATATCCAGTAATGTTTTGCGCTTGATTTGAAAGTTTCATTGCTATTGTAAATTATTAGGCAAAGATAGAGTACGAACACGGCGGAAATTGTACGGCGACCGGCTTCTAGAACCTTTCATACGTCGATTATATGACATGATAGGATGAACTTTGAGGATGATTTCGACCAAGAAAAAGTTTCGTAGGTTGTATAGTACAGCGAAACAAGTGATCGGAACCTAATTTTTGTTTACCGTTAAGACCGCAGAGGAACAGGCTTGCCCAAGAGCAATTCATTTGATACTTTTTTAGGTATTCTTTTCCTGTAAAAATCTTGCAACATCTCTGTATTCGTTCAGCATGCCTGGCCCCGATTTATTTTTTATCGTGATACATTTTTCTGACAGTTTTTAGTCGTAATCGACCACTTTCCCAACCGGTATTTAACAAGGCTAGCAAACGACACAGAGACCAGAACGTTTGATGATGTTTGTGGTTCAAACAAAAGCAGAGTCTTTTGAAAAAAAGGCCAGCGCTCAGCGAGGACGATCGCCGCTAATAAAGACACAACGCAGTAGTATTTGTTGTAGTATTGTTTCTTTTTTCATTTATACTTTTTATTGAGTTCTTATTATCTCTCTGTGTTAGAGTTTCACTCTCTGACAGGTGACCCTCCTGCGCTGTTTCGTCACGTTTCACTTTACATGTATTGTCCTAAATAATAATAAAAGGCAGAGGCCTTTGCCGCCGTTGTAAAGTCGTAGACGAACTATAGTAAGTGGACTCGATTTTGTTGCACGTAGACAGTATGATGGCTTGAGAAGGAAAAAGATAACGGGACATTATCATTGTAATTATTAGCGAGCTCTAGCTCCATCGTAGATATGTAAACGATTATTGTCTGCGTGTAGCCACCTGGCTGGCCCAGGCATCAGCAGCTATGGCTGAGAGCAAAATAAATAACAGGCGTGCCATCATCGGCAGCGGTATTCTCCAAGCGAAGCGCGTGTAGCTTACCGTTTGCCTGGCCGTGTGTCTATTCACGTCCAATCTAGCCGCGCCATTTTGAAATGCTACGGGGGCCAAATCAGCTGACGCGAGCGCTGGCTGGATGGGTCGTTCGTTCGCTCGCACTCACCATGATCAGCTATATATTATTAGTGGATTCGTATGTGCGTCGCGGCAGAGTTACTATGACGTTGGCCCTGTATGAGATGTTTCTGCGGACCTTTATGTGTGTCATGTCCGTCCGTCCATCCATCTGTTTAGTGCTTATCAGTGTGCTACTGGGGTGATGTTTCCAGACAAGCGACCCCAAGGCTTCGCTCCTCCATAAAGTGTAAAATACTAGCTAAATTGTAATTTTTTTTTTTGTTTCAACCAGCACTTGCTGTAAGCAAAATAAAAGATATTTTCTCTGTTGTTGTTCTTCTTCTACTGGAGATGTTCTCATTGTTGTTCATGTACGTGTTGCTATTTAAGCAATTACGTTCTCTTGCGGTAAATGTGTGGGGGTAATTAAGAAATTGATAGTTGTCATACGAACTGCTGTATGAATGAGCATTACGTTCGCTAGACACCTGAACGTATCATTCTGCTAAGATCTGGCCGCGGCGAAAATTGCCGAAAGGAAGACTTTAATACGTAAAAAATTTATGCACATAAAGCTATACATCGCGTCCTTCTTGCTCGACGCATACGAGGATCATAAAGCTCATCTAGGAAAGAGTTTAGATAGGACGATACGTAAATGGCATACGCAGGCAGAACGCACATTGTGAGATATACTCGTCTGGCATGAGCACGCTGAGAAGGATCTGCACTGTTCCCCAATGTCCATTCGAGTCAACTGATCATAGGTAAAAGGTAAAATCACGAAAAATTTCAATTTATTTTTCATTTCACTCAATTGTCAAATCAGAAGTCAAATCGTTTCACTCAGAAGTCAAAACCTCCTATTCTATATAGTACAAGTTCTAGTACTATCTGCCACAGTAAAGTTGACACTTGGCTTTTTTATTTGGCAGAACCCCCCACTCTAATAGAGCTAGCGACATACTAAAATAGTGGTACTTAGTTAGGAGGGCAAGAATGTAATATCTTTTGGTGCTCACATATTTTAGCGGAATTCGACATGCGCTTAATGCTTTAGGTAAGTTATTTATTGATATAACAATAAGGGCCACTCGCCAAATAAATCGTACTAAGTCTTGGAAAGAGCACATCTCTTTGATAAGATGTACGGTTCTCTTTTCGTCAGTACCAGAGCAACTTTTGGTTGAAGGATCGCTACTTCGAGCACTCGTTGTGGTGTCAACAGTTGACCCCCCCCCCCCCCCCAAAAACCCAAAAATTGTCCACCTGTTAAATTTTAGCTAAACATAGCCACACACAATTTTAGCGAACACATTTTGGCTGTGTTTTGTTAGCTTCTTTCGCATTTCGGTAACGCGAGAACGACAGAAAACAAAGAAGTCTTAGCTTCATGCGAACACTCTTACGTCTCCGGCCATAATGTAAAGCTTTAAAGCAATTAAATTTTAAAGCCAAAAAGTTTAACGTAGTAAATAAAAGCAATAAATATTTGATTCATTATTGCTACGTATTTTTAATTCAAGTGACTCGAGTTGAAAAGAGCATGTAATTTTCATCTGAAATTTTCCTAAACTGGATAGTATTTCGTAGACAGGTATTCATTCATCTTCCAAAATGGGGCTCTGCCACGCGAAAGCGTCTCATGATCCCATTGTGAAAAAACTAAGCGCTATTATGGCCTAGAAAATTCAGTACCTTGTGGGCCTTAACGAAGTCAATTTGCAATATCAGAGCTAAAATTACGGTTTTGTCCGCAGCGGTTCGACTTCTCAGTCAGTGACATTTTATATAATGCCAATGTTTGATTGATTTACATGTTTGTATAGAATCGAGCGCATTTAGACTTCTAAAATTTTATTGAAGAACGTAGACACTCAATATTCGATAGAACTTAACGTAGCTGAGGTATTGAGGACAGAGATATCGTTCCCTTGCGACATACATAAAGAATAGCTGAATTTATTAGTCGTCATAGCACAGGTGTGGGCGGTTGACGATCGAATGATATTTTCCACCCAATGGTCATAAAACTAAATAGATTCCTACATACTATATAAGGCAATAAAGGTAACTAGATAGGGTTTAGTTTTATCAGGACGCCGTTAATGATAGCCCGCGCCTATTGACGTAAGGCGCACTCGCTTTAATAATGAAATTTCTGCTAAAAATTACTCTGCTATTACTAAAAACGCTAAAAAAGGAAGGTCGCTGGTTCAAGCATCACCACCTATATATATTACACACCATTTGTTTGTTTGGTATTTGCTTAGTAATTTAATTTGAATTATGTGAGGCTGTATGGCGATATATTCTTGTTGCTAGCCACTCAATTACGAATACCGGAAAAACTCGTAATTATTGTAACAGGGTCCCAACACGCTTTCTTAATCTTCTAATACGAAGACATTCTTCATCTTCTCGTTATTGACGTTGCTGTTATATCCTTTTGGTTTTCTTAAATGCATAATTTCGGCATAGTAATTATATATGAACATTGTGGTTGCCGTCCGGAACAAATACGCTACGAGCGAGCGAGAAATTATCTGAAGATGTATGTGGCAACGATCACAGTTTCTATTCTAGCCTGGTCTTTACATATTGTACCGCTTTATGTATGTTTCTATATATAGTCATAACCACTCATTATAATTTTCATCTCTTCTGTTCCCTATTATAGCTAACGTTATTCTTTTTAGTATCATTACAAGGGTTATTATTTTCGCCAAGCACAACGATCCCTTGCTGTCTTCCAAACGAGCAAAAACATTTAATTCGATATTAACGTAATTAAATTAAGATGCACATACGCGTTACTGTATAGCGGTAAATAGTTTTCCTGTGCATTGTCTGCCTGTTTGGTCTAGCTCCTAATAAAAAGTTGCAGCTAGCTGGTGTTATTTTTCGTCGTCTTCTGTCTTCTCCTTGTTAATCTATAGATAGCACTTGGTTCTCCTCGATCTTCTTTTTACCTCTATAACTGATACCGCCATATTGTCAGAATAATTTCGTGGGAAAAGAGGCGCACCGAGCCCGAAAATAAACCGCTACTGGCCTATTACTACGCTACTAATAAAAATACCTATTCTACCGGCTAGATACATTACACGCACACGCGCCCATCATAAGTGTGTGCATATAATGCAAATAAAGTGACTTTTATGTCCATACCCGAAACTGTCGAGCCCGAAGACCTCTGCTAGAATGGCGGCGTCCTATTGGGAAATGATGTTTAAAATTTAGCGCTTGGGAACCCCGACGCGAATATCGTATACTCGTATAGTACTGACTCAGCCGGAGTGCGCACACGCGAACTTTCTTATCTACGTCCAATAACATGGTAGACAATCAGCGGTAGCCTACGCTAGTGAGAGCTGTTAATTCCGCAACGGCTGAAATACTAAAGTCAAAGTGCAGGACGATGGCTATTTTGTCGTCATTCTTCTAATAACGCACAAAATTGGGTCACATTCAGTCGTCGTAATGTTGATGATATTCTCGCTGTTATTATCGTTGCAGTTACTGTAGAGCGGGCAGATGTTTCCGCCGTTTTTTTGCTTGATTCCATTTTTTTTCGTGTTTATTATTAAACTGTATGTAGCGAGCGTTGTCTCATCCCCATATCTTTGCGTATTTATTCGCCATGCG